TTGCGATTGTGAAAACCCTGTGCCTGCAGGGGCGCCTATGACCGAGAGATTGTGGAGAATACCTGCAAGCGACAAGTTGGGCCGCAACAGATGCTCGGCTCGCCCTGTTTATATATATATATATATATATATATAGATAGATAGATAGATAGATAGATAGATAGATAGATAGATATGTGGGTCTCCCGATGTGCAACATTGCCGCCTTTGGGCAAAGTACTTTCTATTTGCTTTACATGTTTTCTCGCATTCTTCCCATTGGAAGAAGCGCCCTGCGCGAGGACGCTGGAGTTCTTCCAGCATCTGAACTTGGTGCAGCCCCAGCTGCTGGCCACCGAGGTGCGCACCTTCGGCTGCCGCACCGCGCCTCGGCGGGGGAGATGTTGGGCGCAGGCCTGCCGGGAGAAGCGACCTCCGTAAGCGTGCGGTTCATAGTGTTTGTTGCTGGCTTGATTTCGTGGCGTCCGTATTCTTGTTTGCTTGTTGTGTTTGTTTGCTTGTGTTCCGACATATTAGGTGTTTTCAAACAAGTTTGATGCTTCCCCATAGGCTGTGATGTCGACGCCTTCTGAATGAGGACTGCTCAAGCGGAATCGTGTTTGGAGGCTACTTGGAGGCTATTTGGTGTGCAACAGTCTCATGGCGTTGCTTACCGGGTTGTGAATGTTACCCGGACAGGATTGCCACTCAGCTGCTGCGTGGGGTGTCAGTCCCTGTTCAAACCACAGGCTGTATAGAACCAAACACACAGAGGATGGCCTTCGTGTTTTGTGCCGGACAGGCAAGTCTATGTCCCTCAAAGGTGCTGATTTGTTGTATCAAACACATGTATCCCACTCCAAACGTGGGAAGTGACGAAACCTCTTTCCCAGCCAAGCCTTCTGAGTTTGGCTGGCGGGCCTATCCAGTGTGGTTTTGCGACCGTCATCCAGTTGTCAGTTCAAGGGATTGTCCTTGTGTACTGACAATTCCTGGTTGCAAGGGCAAGCGCTCAAGCAACGGTCACCGTTTGGAACCTGTAAAAAACCTCTTGCTGGAGAGCCATTCCACCCCAACCATCCCACCCCCCACTTTGGAGATTCTTGATTGTGAGCCATCGCGGGAGGTGGAAGACCTGTCGCAGCTGCTGCAGCGGTGGCCGGACTTCTGGCAGAAGCTGCGGCTGCGGTGCGGGGAGCGGCAGAAGTTAGACGAGGGCCTGAAGCAGCACCGGAAGGGCAAGGCGTTGTTGCTTGGAAGAGAGGAGGGGAACTTGGGCTTGGGGTGGTCAAAGTTGGAACTTGTTTGGGATTGCTTTCGCTGTTTGGGCTGGTTGCTACTGCAGCTGAGTAGAGTCACAGGGCAGTGGAGTGGGTATCACCGAATGATCCCAGCATGTCCTTCTTGCAAAAACGTGCCCGCGCAAAAGCCATGTTGTGTGACAGGGCCATCTTAATTGAGATTGGGTCAATTTCTGCTCAACACGGTGCCAGCGTGGCACTTTTTTCAGCAACACGCATGCCGGAATCGGACAAAACACGAACCAAGAATGTTCATTGTTCATACATGGCACTGTTGGTGTTTAGCTTTGGTCTTGTATCCTTTGTCATAATTTGTCTCATTTGTATCTCCGGCTTCCCAGGTGGCGCTGCTTGCCGATGCCCTCCGTGCCGCTGGGCGGCTCCGTCTCAGCGGCGCTGGCGCCCCAGGCGCAGCTGGTGCTGCAGGACCGCGGGATGCGGAAAGCCGCTGAGCTGACTGCAGGCTCTGGGGGCGTGCTGGTGACTGGTTTTTGAAACACGGGCTTGGACCATTTTAGTGCTACGCCTCAAACTTGGATCCTCTTTTCGGCCAATCTCAGGAAGCTAGTCGAAGGTGCCCCTGGACAATGTGAAGCTGGAATTATTGATTGCTTTTTGTTTTTTGCGTGATTGGTATCATGTTTGGCATATGGTGAAGCCTGATTGCCCTTGAACGCTCACCAAGGTCAGCACGCACCTTTGAAATCGAGAGAGACCACCAGGATCTTGTCCCCCAAGCATGTCCATCCGGAGGCTGCTTTCTGAGAGAACCAAGGGAACCACCACTTGCCCAAGGACTTGCCACAAAAATATCTCTGCCATGTGGGAGACTGGAATCCACCCGCCCTTTTTTGCTGAAAGCATAAAGCAACCCCGCCATGATTTTCTTGTTGGAGTCCTCACTTTTGATTCCCCACTTTTTTGGGGGGGACAAGTTCCATGCCCCTTGTGGCCCCAAAAGAAATGCATTCCCACAGCGTGAGCCGTGCCAAAGCGCCAGGCTGCCGCCTTCTGAGCTTCAACCTCCCGCGTCAGCGCCTGGCGATGGCCCGCTTGGCCAGCGTCCGGCACCAGTGGCCGCTGCTGCAGCTGGCGGCGAGCGCAGTCAGGGGGTGTCTGCCGGCGGGGGGGGGGGGGGGTTGGGAAATCTCTAGCATACGGATGAGCTATCAACTCTTTGTGTTGAATGTGTTGCAATGTTCATTCTGCCAATGATCTCAACATGTCAGTTGTCGTGCTTCGATTTTGCAGTGTTTTGCTGATGAGCTGTGTGGCTCGCTTTGTTGCTGTTTAACTGCTGTTGTGGGTTTCCCCATTGCGCTGATTGCGACCACCATGGCCTGCTTTCTTCGGTGTGAAGCACACCTCAAAACGGAGTACAAACAGATACCTTCCTGAAGTTAGGACTTGAAGAGAGACACTCAACTTGCTCAGTTATACATTTGCTTGTTGGGGTGATGTGAAGACCACGAATGGGTAGGTTTGCGAATGGCAAAGCCCCACCATTGGCGCAAAATGTGTTTGATAGACATCGACAGAAATCCAATCAAGTGCTGTTAGTAGATGCCTGCCCATAGCTCTTCAAACAGCTGGCGCTCGTATCTCCAGGCAAAAAAAAACATCGGCGTCCTTCCTGTCCCTTTCCAAGGCGTCATACGCATACCGAAAGCATCATTTGTGCTGAGCGCTGCGCGTCATGCTGATTGTGGTGCGCACTGTGCAGTCAGTGCAGTGTCTCACCATGGCAGATTTCGGTTTTGTTTCAGTAAGCTGATCCGCCTGTATGCTCAAGACAGCTTGTGCGGTTCACAACCCTCGTGTGGCCTTGAATGAGACTTGTTGGAACACACATTGCGCGTAAGTGAGTAACACCTCTGCTTTGCACCACTCAGAAGATGACAGTTGCTGCAACCTGTAGAGACCAATGACAAATTCAGCAAAGGATCAAACGTATGGCCATAGCATGCTTCTCGCCGCTTTTTGAATTGTGTGTACCTGCAATGCGTGTTTGTTTGTATATATTTGTATGTTGTATGTTGACCTGTCGGCTTGTGTCTCCTGACAGGTGCCGCAGCACCCCGACTTCGTGCAGGTGCTGCTCCGCGACAGCGCCATGAGGCAGCAGAGGCTCTGGGCTTCCTGGCACCAGCAGCTCTGGTGCATCAAGACGGGCCGCGCCTCGGCCAGAGCTCTCCTCAAAACGCCTTTTATTTTTTGTTTATGCTTTGCTCTGTTGTTTTCTCTTGGTCTGTTTTGTTGCTCTTATGGTTGCGTTGTGGTGTTTCGTGGCTATGAGTTGTTCTCCCAGCGGTAAGAGGAAGTCGAACAAGCGACTGATTTTGTGCTGACTTGCAAACAACGGCACTGTTTGTTAAAAGCTGATGATTCATAGAGTCAGGCGCTTGACGTGGTTGCCTGAACTTGTTTGCCCCGCTGATCGAATGCCTCTTTGCCCCTGTGTTGCGAAGGACATCTTTGGGTGACCGCTGGACAAAATGAGGGAGCAGAGTGCAGCTCGGCGATTGCCCACGCGCAGTTGAACATCAAGTATATCAGGTGCCGTTTCACCCTTACTGTTCAATCCTTTTTCCACCCTGATAGTGTTCGCCTCATCCTTGTTCTCCTGCTTGCCGTAGCTTGCCAAATGATATCTTCGTGAACAGCCCAGGGGACACCGAAGGTTCAACACCACTTCCCGCTATGAGTATTGAAGCTATGGAGTCTCATGTAGCACCAATAACATAGAGCCGGCAAAGCCGGTGGTGGGAAGTTTCTAAAAAATAAAGCTATGGTTCTGATATTATTTTATTTGTTCTTCGTCTTTCCTTCTTTCTGTTCATTTGTGTTTCTTCTTTCCTTTGTGCATTATTTGTGTGCATCGTTATTTTTATTTGTTCCTTGCTGTATTTGTTTCATTGTTTCTACATATCGATATCTCTGTCTATCTGTCTATCTGTTTATCTGTCTATCTGTTTATCTATCTATCTATCTATCTATCTATCTATCTATCTATCTATACTCTAGTTGTGTATCTACCTGACTATGCATCCCGCAAATCTATCTCTCTCTCTCTCTTCCATCTGTTTTTCTATTTGTGAAAGGAAGTTTAGAACGAACTTGCGTAGTACGGACACGAAGTGAAAGGTAGTTTTGCGTAGATAAGATGAAGAAAGAATGACCGCATGCAAGAAGAAAGGAATGCGTGCGAGAAGTGTGCGTGGGCGCGCGGGTGAACATGTCGCAAAAAAGAATGACCCTCTGTCGCGTTTTGCGGGCGTGGGTCAATGTCAACCAGCTCTGTCTCGATGCCTATTAGCACAGCAACGCGGCTTCATTTGCGTGGCGGGCGCAGCGCTTTTGCAAGATTTCGCGGCAGGCGCCGCAGTAATATAGATTTCGGAATCAGGCACACTTTTGCAAAGTCAGGTGCAGACTTCGTGGCAAACAAAGTCAGGTACAGATTTCGCGGCCGGTTGGTATGTCAACGGAATGTTGTCAGTTCATCTTTGACAAGAACTTGAAGGATGACACCGTAACACCGCAGATGCACACCGCGCACAGAAGCGGCTCAGGGCAAATGAACTGGTCACAATCACGAACTCAGTTCCAGCGGTTCTCTCGTTGCCATCACAAGCAGCATCACCAACCATTGAGGGCGTTGGCGCCATCAGCAACACCGTCAGATCCATCCAGCGTGCGTTTTTGGCCCCTTCGCGGAAA